AGCCCCGGCACCAAAGAAAGGAAGGGAAAGGAGAAAGGAAGCCAGGGCTTAAGCTATGCACTGGACCACGTTACTCAGCACAAGGCCGAGCTTTGGTCAAGAGGGAGACACTTGAATGGAGTTTTGAAGCATATGCCTCAATTTCAGCTATTATTGATTGTGGTTCCTGTGGGCCAGGCATTTCACCTCCACAGCATCCCCACAAAATAGGTGCTTTCTTCCATGTTTTAGGATGAGGTAATGGAGGCTCGAGACTTTGCCCAGAGCTTCCCAGGGGGACAGCAGCAGACCTGGGTTCCAAACGCTTCCTGTCCCTAAATACTGTGGGTGGAAAGCAGGAAGCCTTGCATGGGGGGGGCATGGGAAGCAGAGGTGGCATGAATTAGGGGGTGAGGTTGATGAGAAGACCGCCTGGCCATACCAGAAGGTCAGGGGTGTGGGAGATGGACAGGAGCACAGGGCAGTTGGGTTGGGAGGAGCCAGATGCCAGGCTGGGGAGCTGAGACTTGGTGGAAGAGCATCAAAGAAACTAGGGTTTTAAACTGGAAAGTGCTCAGGTGGTAACTGTGCAGCAAGGGAGGAGGGTGGGGCATCCGGAAGTCAGGGGGTTTTAATTAGGGTGTCAGAGGTGGGTCTAGAAAGAAGCAGGCCTCTGAGAACACTACCAAGTGCTGCTTGTTACCACTAAGCACCCTGCTTGCTGGAAAAATCCTTGGTTGGGCCATGAGAAGAGAACAGTATTTTTAGCCATGATCATAACTTATTTCCATTTGTGTCTCCTTCTATCTCATCCCTATGCAGCACAGTAGTGAATGTGCATATCCATAAATGTCTGCATATCCATAAATGTCAGAAGAGTGTTCTCATTTTACTTGACTGCCACATCAGGCTCTGTTCTTAGACTCAGTTCTTATTTTGCAGCATGTACATAATGGCTGTGTGCCTACAGCTTTAAAGAATGGATGAGGAAATATTGGTTGCCAAGTCCAACCCACAGGACATCAAAGGTCTCTAACTCTCTACTTGTCCACCTCCAAAGAAACTGTAAGGAGATTTAGTCCCAACAGATCCTAAGCTCACTTTCTTGAAAAATTGACCATTTTACATGGGCAAACACGTTGCTTTGCAAAACTAAAGTGTGTGTTAAGCTGAGGCCGCTTGTTTAAAGTATTCTCATTTAGCTCCCCCAAATCAAGGATCTAGGGACATTTCCCATCAGAGCTCGTGTTTGTACCAGTGTATCATGTTTGCTTCTTTAAGAAGCCTTGGGCTTGGGCAGTTTATACGTCTAGGACTGTGGAAGAGAGCTCAGCTATGACAGCAGGGACCAGCCAGGAGGCATTTACTCTTAAAAATGAGAGTAGAGAGAGGAAGGGGGATCTGGATTCACCAGGGTGAATGTGATGATCTATAGTGCGGACAGCCCCTGGGACGCGGTGCTGACAGGGACTTCCAGAATCATGCTGGCTGTGTCTTCAAGGTTGGGTCTGGGCCCGTCCCTGGTGGACAGGGGATCCTTACTGTAGGACCCCTCCTCCTCTTTCACTTAGGACCTTTCTACTTTTATCAGTTTTTTTTTTTTTTATATTAGGGTTCCATGGAAGTGTTATTTTTAAAAATAAAAGGCTAAAAAAGATAACGTCTGGCCATTACTTCATGATACAAAGGAAAATTAAGTCCCAGTGTAGGAATGTGCATGTATGAGCCTTGAGTCTTTGGTAGATGACCTGATATGACTTCTCCTCCTCCTTTTTAAAAAACAATATTGTGTGGTCACAGAAGTACCTTTTGGGGCACTATTCTGGAGGAGACATGGACCGTTAGGAGTCATGGACCTTCTCTTAGGTTTCTGCTCCTGACACTTTGATGTCACCAGATCAGGTGGTCACAGATCTGGCAGTCTTTTGAAGCAGGCTCCTCTTCTCATGGGGTCCAGTGCACGTCAACCTGAGTTTCTACCCTACTTCTGGGCGCTTCAGATAGCTTTTCAGCCGTTAGAGGTCTCTCAGCTGACCATGAAATCTGGGAATTAACCAGGCCAACTGGATGAAATAGCCCGAAAAGACCAGTGACCCAGCTCCACGTTGGGACCGCTGGCTGCCTGACAGCCTGTTGAGTAAGTTTCTTTCTGGAGGCAGCCTGAGCCAGTTGGACCATTGGTAGAGTTAGACTGACCAGGTCTAAGTCATTGCTCTGCCACTTAGAGCTATCTGATGTTGGACAGCTGCTTAGCCACACTGTTTCCTTATTAGTGATTTAGGGGATCTCTCTTAGAAAATTATGTCTAAAATACACTTGGTGCTGGGATTTATCCTTTTTTGCCTTTGTGCCAGTTTTGCCCCCTATCAGGACCTTATGAATAGCTCTGCAAGGTATAACTAGCCTTCCAAGAGGAGAATCTTGTGTTCGGGGTCTAGAGGTCCTCCATCCCACTGGACCTCTGCTACCCTAACCTGACCTCACGTACCTGATGCCCACCATACCAGATGTCTAGGGGTCAAGACCACTGCTGCTGCTTCCAGGACTTGCAGAGCCTGCCAAGGGGAAGGCTTTCGTGTTACAGCAACCGGCAAGCCCATTAGTCAGAGTGACTGTGGAGTGTCTGCCATTTGCTAGCCCTGGCCAGAGGCTGTGGAAAACAGTTAAGGGGATGCGGTGGTGCCTTCTTCCCCACCAGAAATGTGTGTAGTTGATTTCTAGCCAGTCTTTCCCTGTCCCTTGGCTATTGCCAAGTAGTTTAATAAATGAGAACATCATATAATTATATTTGGTCTGGGAGAATTGCTCTTCTTTAGACATGGGTGGTCTGTACTGCTTTTTTAACCTAGGACTTAGAACAGTGACTGCATGTGTACATGCATGCAAATACGTAAAAGCACACACACAGTGTGCCTTCCACACCTACAGATTGAACCGCCGTGGATGGAAGATACTGAAGCATTGGGGGGAAATGCCCCCGCGCTTTGGTCAGTATTCCTTAGACAATACTATGTGGTGGCTCTTTACGTTGTGATTACGCAGTATTAGGAATCGTAAGTAATCTGGAGATGATTTAAAGTATACGGGAGAATGTGTGGAGATAAATGCAAACACTCTACATGAGCAACTTGAGTAGCTGTGGATTCTGATATCTGTGGGGGGACCAATTTCTCACAGATACCAAGGGATCAGGGGATTAATATATAGATATGATAAAGGTATTTTCCCTTAACCTGACAATCACAAGTCAGAAATACCTCCCTCCCCTCCTCCATTAAAACAAGCTACCAGTGACCAGACCCTTCCTAGGAGAGGAGGCCTCACCATGAAGATGAGCCCTCCAGTCATCAGAGCTGACCAGCGAGAGACCGTGTTATGAAAAAGGTGGTGAAGAATGTTTACCTAACTGTGCTTGATAAGAGCCTCACACTCTTGGGGCTGGGGTCATGGCTCTGAGGTAGCATGTCCTCCTAGCGCGCGTGAGGCACTGGGTTCAATCCTCAGCACCACATAAAAATGAAATAAAGATATTGTGTCCACCTGCAACTGAAAAATAGATATTTTATTAAAAAAAAGAACTTCACACTCCTGCCTTTGGGTTGTGAAGCCGCCCTGGAGAGAGGCACGGGCGGTGCCTATTCCTCTGCTGTTCCACCTCTGGGGAACCTGAGGCTCGGGGAACTTTAGCAGCTCACTAGTCGTCACAGAGTTAGTGGCAGGTCTAGGACTTAAAACTGGGTTATTTAATGACTCAGGATCCCCCTTGTTCTCTGGTAGAGCGGGGTTCGGCCAGGAAGCTGCCCTCTAACAGAGGGTCCCAGGCAGAGGCTTGTCAGGAATTTTGCGGAAGGTATTTGGGTCGGTTAGTTGATGGGTCCCGCTCATCATCCCCCCATTGGCCCTCCTCCCTGCCTTTCTCCCAGTGCAGCTCTGGGCCTCCAGTCCTTTTGGAGACAGGAGTAATGACAGGAAGAGTGCTCTCATGAGCACGTGGGCTCGATTGCTCTCCTCCCGGATGGCCAGCGGAGTTGGTTCCACAAACGCTTTCTGAAGTATTCCTTTTTGTCTCGCATGGTACCAGGTACACGAAAGCAAATGGGGGCCTCGGTGAACACCCTGACCTCAGGGAGCCCCTCGCTGGGTGCAAGAGGCAGGCAGTATGCTGCAAGGCTGCAGTCCCGGCAGAGGAGAGAGCCACCGACTATGCTGGGAGAGGTCAGGCTCCTGGAGAGGTGGCAACCATGGTGGCCATGTGGCAGCTTGCCACCAGGACTGAACAAGGCATAACCTGGGACAGTCCAAGGGAGGAACACAACCAGTGACTAATTGTACTTGTGAAATAGTTGAGTGACACACAAAGTTTTATTCGAGATCGGTCTCCCTTATTAAATAAAGACTTGCATCCAAATGCCCAAGGCTGTCCTTCCCACCGGACCTGCCAGCCTGGCCTTCACAGGCTGGCGAACACGTTCTCTCTTTTTGGCTGACATCTTGTTTCCTTTTCCTTAACTTCTGTTCTGCAATTATTACAACAATTTTTGTACTTCAAGGAATTGATGAGCGCCTGGTACATATGCAGTTAATAAATATTTAAGAAAATGAGATGCTAATCATAGTGGACCTCCAAGGTCATTGGTAGCCATGGTAAAGTGGTGGGCATGGACTGTGACTTTGGTGATTCTAAAGCAGCTCTTATGTCTGTGCTAAAATAGTGTTTTGTAGTGGAATGGTGAAATACAGGATCTGGGCGACGTTCAGTATGCTGGCTTTCTGTGAACCGTAGCTGGGCTACCCCCATACTGGGCTCAGATGGGACGCAGGTCATGCCTGGACACTGTAGCAGCAACAGCCACAGGAAGATGGGTGGGGGGGTTAGAAGATGACAGTGGAACAGGCTGCGTTCTCCTCCCCTTACACCTTCTCCCCCCATACAACTCAAGCAAGGGTGGGAAGTGTCAGGTGACTTACCCAGATCCAGGCATGCCCTGGGTTCGACTTATTTCTCTAGACTAACGCAGCTCCCAGCCTGGAGCCTAAGCACACGCTGCATTAATCAGCCTTGCTGGAATGATCACATGGTTTCTAGCTGCCGCTTGTCAGCAGCTGGCGGAGCTGGAGGCTGCAGGCCCCTGTCTGCAGAAAGCCTTTCACTTCGGAATATCAGGGGGGTGTGGAAGCCCCGCCTCTGTATTCTGCACTTCTCACCATCTGACTGACTAAATGGTTGTCCTCCGCACCAGAAAGGCCACCATACAATCTGAGGAAACTGTTTCTGGCTAGGTCATGTTTGCATTTGAGGAATTCAGGTATGTTCTTGGTTTTCTACATCAGTCTGCTGCTGGGTTTTTGTTCTCGCTGGGTTTTTGCTGTGTAATGACAGCTTAGGCTCCGGCTGGTTCTCACAATAAGAAGGGTTCTTGTCTGCATTTGGAGGGGTTATCCCCATGTGGGGGTGGGAGGTGCAGCGGTGATGCAGGTCTGTGTGTTTACTGCATGCAGAAAGCAGCATGGATAATCGGTTTGATCATGTGTAAATTTGTGGGGGACCCCACCTTGTGCCTCGTTTGAGCTGCTCTTGCTGGCATAGAGTTAGGAATACAGAACAGCAACTGTTTATCCAGAACAAGTCTCTTGCTATCTTTTGTTTTTCTTCCTTTGTCAAACTCCTGCAGTCTGCTTCTCTTTAAAAAAAAAAAGCCTTGTAGCAGTGAAGGTGAGGATTCTGCAAGTCGACCGCAGAGTTAGATTTGATGTGGATGGGTCTGTCATTGTTGTTAATGGCCAGCTTGTGGCTGGGCTGCTCTCTGGGAAGTGCTCTGATGGTGTTTTGTTAACGGGGTCCTTCCTGGCTTTCCTAAGCTTTCAGCTGCTCTAGTCATTAGTGTTCCCAATTAGGCCTTTTGTGAATCTCATTCCTTCTGTTTTCCTCCATCTCTTCTCTGGGAATCTATCCCTGGGCATGAGTGTGGGAAGGGACCTTCTAGGAGAGATAGTTTCTAAGAAATGAAAATTAAGGAGGTGGAACAGGAGGGCAATCAGATGGCTCTTGTGTCTATTTCTACCTCTTGGAGCATATGGACAAGAAAATATGTGTGTGTGTTTCTGACCTCTGGCTGCTTTGCATGTTTGAAATAACCTTTCTGTGCATCTGAGAACTGAGTAAAAACACCTTTTTGATAGGCAAAGAGTGTGTGGGACCTAGGTACCACTTTGATGGGCCTTTATGTCCCCTCCAAATGTTACTCTAATAGTCGTTGAAAGAGGAAGACAAGAACCACCTTCCTTATTTGTAAGAGAAGACTAGACCCCTTGGAGCCAACCTGGAATAGATGAGAGGGTCCACAGTTTCCACCAAGGATAGTTGAGCTCTGGAACTTATCCCCACTCTCTTCTGCAAACTTGATACTTTGGGTCCAGAAAGTTAGCCTTTGCTTCAGAGCATGTCCTGTGTTATTTCTAGAAGGCTGGGCTATGAAAAGAAAATTCTTTCCATGTGGCAACATGCCCTGGTGGCATGAGGCCCACACCCTTGCAGGGTGACCATACTTACTGTGTAGGAGCACTCCATCAGATACCTGACAGGAATTTATTTAATCCCTGGCATGTTGTGATAGGTCAGACCTTAGGAGTGAATCAGGAGCCCTGGTTTCTGGCCTTGGTTTCAGTACCAGCCTCCATATCCTTGTGCAGGTCACAGAAAGGTTCTGTAAATGGTAGTGAGAAGTCGAGTGGTGGAGTTCATCTCTTCTGGTTGGCATCCACATCAGATGGATGCCTGAGCCATCCCGAGCCCTCTTGTTACATCTCACGGTCAGGGAAGAGGGACGTGTGTGAACAAACCCACTCCCACTGTGGTGGCTCCTGGCCCCAGAACCAAGAGCGTGGTCTGATGAGGTGGAAGCAGGCTGGGCTAAAGCTACTGAGCAAGTGGGAGCTTCGTTATGGAAAGTAGATCAGAGATGGGAGGTCTCTTGTCCCCTGGTCAGCATCTGCCCAGCTGGCTCTGAAGAAGTTTGCGAATGAGATTACATTTTGTAGCTTCTGCATGGTTACTGGGCAAAGGGTGTTCGTTAGTCACAGGGTTTGCATGCCTTGAGGCCAGGTAATCGTGGTGGGACAACACAGGGTCTGTAGAGGAGCATAGCTTTTTAACTTTGTTCAAGCCCTAGCATGCAGCAGAATCCCTGGAGAGTTGTTAAAACTCAGAGTGCTGGGCTCTTCTCTCAGAATTTCTGATGCTATCGGTCTGAGGTGGAGGTCGAGAATCTATTTCAACAAGTTTCCAGGTGACTTTGATGATGCAGGTCTGGGATCAGACTTGGAGCGCCACTGGCCTAGGAAAGGCAGGCAAATTGACTGTCATGGAGATGAGAGGTTTGAGGCAAAGGCCAGGTGGAGGAAGAGGTGTGGAAGGAATCAGAGCAGGAAGAGGCAGGTGGAGTGCAGAGGTCTCCTGGCATCCACAGGCATTGGCTCCAGCACTCTGCAGGTGCCAAACTCTGCACATGCTCAAGTCCCCGAACAGAATGATGTGGTGTGTACACCTGACCTCTCACATCTCCTGCATACTTTAAGTCATCTTTAGTTGACTTGTAACACCTAATGCAATGCAAATTCTCCCCAAGTGGTTATAATGCCGCATTGTTTAGGAAAGAAAAAGTCTATGTGTGTTCAGTACAGGAGTAGTTTGTTTGATTCTTTCTTTTTTTCTGAAATCTTTTTGATCTGAGGTTGGTTGAATCTGAGTGGCATCCCTTCTGGTAGTGAATCAGAGCCAGGCATGCTCATAAGAGCTAAACTATGGCCAAGTCAGATGGACAGCCCCTCATTCTCCTGGGGACATATTGCAGAGCAAGAGAAAGAAATATTGAGACCACAATCAGAGAACTTGGTGTATGATCCTGGTGCCCTGCCTTTGTGGGCTTGGCAAGTCTCTTGATCTTTCTTGGTGTCAGTTTTCTCAATTGAAAAATGGGATAGGGCTGGGGATATGGCCCAAGAGGTAGCGCGCTCGCCTGGCATGTGTGCGGCCCGGGTTCGATCCTCAGCACCACAAACAAACAAAGATGTTGTGTCTGCCGAGAACTAAAAAATAAATATTAAAATTCTCTCTCTCTCTCTCTCTCTCTCTCTCTCTCTCTCTCTCTCTCTCTTTCTCTCTCTCAAAAAAAAAAAAAAGAAAGAAAGAAAGAAAGAAAAGAAAAAAGAAAAATGGATAGTGATTCTTGCCCAGAAAATCTGTAATGTGTTAGAATCCAGTGGGGTCATGTAAGCTTTCTAAATTCTAGCTGTCTTTTCTACTCGAATCTAACAGGATGAGAAGACCCTGGGGGCAACTCAGTCAGGTGATTTCAGGCCTCCTGTATGGACACACTCCACAGGTACCCTAGCTCTAAGCAGGCTCAGGTTCATTTTTAAAGGATGCCTCCTTTAGATGCACCACGTTTTCATGCCATCCTTCCTGGTGCACTGTGAATTCCTCGAGAGCTTTGGTGAATCCTGTTTTTAACTTTGTTTCCGTGGTGTTTAAACTGCTTGACACATAGTGGGTCTGAATCAGCAGTTCTCTCCAACCAGGCCTCCGGGACTGAAAAGTGGGCAGCTCTCTGCCTCTCAGGGTGGACGTAAGTAAGCGGGTGCGGAGGCTGCCCAGCCCAGCAGGGCCTGCGGGAGGCTGCTCAGCCCTGGCCCCCATTCTCCTAAGGAGGCTGTGCCAGGGAGCACGTTCTAGAGGTGGTCTTCTGCTGCCTGGGTCCCCAGCCATAGAGCTGCAGTTCCTGGAGAGCCAGAGAAAGCGGCCAGCACCTCCCAGCTGGCTAGGGGACTCTGGCCTGCCACTGACACAACAGTGTTATTACAGTGTCAGGCGAGCTGTTGAGCTGGCCGTCACGATAGATAGCGGTCACTTCTGTTTTCAGCTTTTTATTTTTTACTTTTATGTGTTTGTGGTATTAAGGTGTTTTTGCCTTTTTAAAAATCAGTCTTAAACAAGCCATGCACTGAATGGGCGATTGTAAGTTAGCATTTGCCCATTACCACACACTGCAGAGACTGTCTCTGAGGCTTTGTGAAAGAAACACCACGTCACTTTCCTTCTACCCCTACACCCAGACCAGTGACAGCTTTCCCTTACAAGGACAAAATTGAGGTTTAAAAAAAATTTTTTTTTAGTTGCAGATGGACACAATACCTTTATTTATTTATTTATTTATTTTTATGTGGGGCTGAGGATCAACCCTGGTGCCTCTCATGTGCTAGGCAAGCACTCAACCCCAGCCCCTCAAAATTGAGTTTTAAACACTTTTTTTTTTTTTTTGCCATAATCCCTCATGGGAGTATGGAACTCAAATCAGTACTTGATTTATTCTAATATATTTCCAGAAGAATGTGGCACAATAGCTCCAAGATCTAAAATCTACAGTTGGAATGTGTCAGTCACACGAAAATGGGAAGTAACTATTTTGAGTATGTTTTGTTTTATTTTATTTTTAAGCAAAAATGTTATTAGGGAATGATTGCAGTTCAAACTCCAACTAACTCTCATTCTTTATTAATTCATAGTTATATCTGGTCTACAGACTGTTAGAATTTTTCTCGCCCTTTCACTGGAATATTGAAGACTTGGAGTGAGTGGCATGGGAGGACCCAGGTCTTCAAGTCCTGTGCACCCCACCTGGGCCAGTGCCAAGGGCCCAGGCCAGTTCAGACCCTCCTGTCTTCCAGGGACCCCTTTTCCTGTCACCCCTTGAGTAAGCTGATACTGGATAAGTTTTGATATTAGGTACATTGACCTTCATACTGGGCGGAGAAATGTAGCCCAGGCCAACCGGAGAGGCACTGGGGCTGGGTGGGGAACAGACACTGCCTGTGACCTTAACCCCTTCCAGGCCTCATGAATGTGAGCAGAGTCCACCCAGACCTTGTCCCAGCTCTGGTCCCACATGTCACTCTACTCACTTGAGTTCAAGGTCACTGCCTGGGGCCCAATGGCATCTCTGGCTCAGCGACCATTTCCTACCCCTGACCCTCCCAGTCTCCCCAGCCATTGGGGACAACTCCTGCCCTCTAGCTCTGCCATCCTGCCCTGCTCCATTCTCTTACTCTCCTGAAGGCCCACTCTGTCCTCCTGGAGCCCCCGCTACTCCGTGGGGCTTCCTGCCTCCCTGCTAGGCCTTGGCTCAGATGTGCCCTGACCTCTTTTAACACGCCCCTCTCCACAGTGGGTACGCCTTCCCCTCACTCGGCCTTATTTTTTGTCAGATCACATATCACCATCTACACACTGTAGATTTTAACCTCGTCTGTG